AATATGTTTGTTAGGTGATTTATTTATTTAGGACTTATTAGATTATTAGGCAAGAGATTATTTAGTGTTAGGATACTAGATATATTTTTCATAGATTAGAATTATAGATTTAGTAGGATTAGATCTAGTTTTTCCTATAAATACCCAATGTACTCATTCAATTTTAAAATTGAAGAAGTTAATAGAAAATCGTTCGCAAGAGCAAAACCGTGTGTATAGAATTCGTGAGAGTTGTATCATACAACCTCGAGTTTGGCAAGGATTGGCACCCGAGTTGTCTCAAAATCGTGAGAAAATAAGGGGAAACCCGAGTCGTCCACACCTATCGCCGAGAAGGAAGCCGTGGCAAAGCAACTTTCGAAGCAAACGAGTTGAGGAGATACACGATTATTCATCACAACCCCAAAGAGTCCAGCACGCCCTACATAGAGCCGCTACCGTGCCCTAGTGTCGCTATGGCCTGCTCGCAACCAAAATCGATTTATTTTGTTTTTCTGGTTTTTGCTCGATTTTTGAGCCCTATATATTGGAATTCGCGGCTCAGACCTGGAGAGCACCCCCAAAACTCGTTTTTTACTCAATTGGAACCCTAGAACATAGATTTAGATCTTGCTCTTCACCTTGGAATTCTTCTTCGAATTTTAGGATTAAACTTGTTCATCAGATTCAACATTCGATTTCTCTATTGATTGTAAGTTTTCCTTTACATCTAATCCATGAATATGAATGCTTGGATTGTTTTGAATGTTTATGTTGAATTCGATATAAGCAGCTAATTCGATTTGCTAGGGATATGGGATGATGTTTTGGATTCGATTATGATTATCTGTTTGTTGATGATTCAATTTATGCGATTTGATTTTAAATAGGGTTTTCAATTATCATACCTGAATATTGAATATTGTTGAAGAGTGACACTTCAATCTCCAATTGATTTTCGATTGAATATGATTCATTCTCGTGAAATGTTGTTAATTAGTAAAGGTTAGTCGGTTAATCACCTTCTAGTTTAATTTAATCAACTCTTAGAATCAAAAGGGGAAGAGTTGATTGGTCTCGGCTCGTATAAAATAGGTTTGTTCGTAACTGTATTGCCTATGTGTTGAACGACTCGTTAATTTTTCGTTCATGTTTATTCTCTTATTACAAAAAGTTACTTAGGATGAATCTCTGGACGTGTAGGTTATTCGAATCCTTCAACCGAATTATCAATTGCCTTTTAATTAAATTTTCAATCAAAACAAATATCCCCGACTCCCTAGCTTCTTTATTATTCTTGATTCTTGTTTTTGGGTTGAAATTTGAATTTGCTTTGTCTGAGTTTTCTTAGTTGATAATTGAAACAAAACCAATTCTTGAATTAGAGTGTTTAGGAATTTAATTTATCCTTTTTGTGATTGAATAATCGTTCATAATAATCCGGCTAACCTTCCTCGAGAGATCAACCCGAGGAACTAATCCTTCGATTTGATACTCGGTAAAAATAAATATAATTTGCTACAACAGTGCTGTTAAATTAAACGAGCCTGGATTGGCTCAGCTCGAGTTCGAGTCCTTGACGAGTCGAGCTCGAGCTCATTTAAATCCCGATTGGTGAATGAGCCGAGCTCGACTTGGCTCGATAAGGCTCCCTAAGGCTTGAAAATAGATTTTTTTGTATAATTTTCTATAGTTCTGCTTGTTAAAGCTCGAGATCAGCTCGTTATGGCTCGAGCTCAAATTTTAGCTCGTTTATTAAACAAGCGAGCTTGGCTCGACTCGTTAAGAGCTCGAGCTCAAGCACTCTAAGCTCGAGCCGACTCAGCTCGTTTATAGCTCTAGTGCTCGGCGGTTTCTCCCAGCTACTGCTCGCGTTGTTATTGGCCTGATAGCGCAGCACGCCGAGGATGCTCGCGGGAAAACTGGTGCAAAAAACGAGGGCGGGGGAAGAGGGTGAAAGTCGTATTTTTGTGTTGCTACTCAAGGCTGAAAAAAGAACTCTCGGCTGATATGTTAGAGTGATTTGAGAGGAGACTTGAGAGATTTGCTACTGATGCAAAAGGGCCAAAGAGATGAATTATATTCTGGTCTCCAAATATGTGTAAACACGCCTAAGGCAAAAGGGAAGGGAGAATTTTTTAAGTGTAAACACAAGGGAGATCAACGGTGATTTTATTACCATAATGAAATATCATAATTGGCACAATGAAGGGTTCTTGGCTAGTCACAAGGTAGAGAATGAGGCTGAAAAATTTTACCAAATAGAGCTACTACTATTTGAAATTTGAACTTTCACAAAGGAGCGAAAATAGACCATGTCATTTGGGGCGGTTTTTAAATGCATAATCGGGCCAGATTTTTAAGCACTTTGGGCACTTTATACTTGGATTTGGGCAAAATATTAGGTCTAAAGGGTCAAGATAATTAGACTAAATATAAGGCTCACGAGATTATTGCACCTGAACTTGAAAACAAATGATTTTTTTCCAAGATAACGAAGATAATAAAATTCAGAATAATTTAAGTAGACGAGGACATCTACAAAAATTTATTGAACTTACAAGATTAAATAGATGAGAACATCCAAATAATCTTAACGATCATGAAAGAATTCAGTCGAGCTACCAGAACAAGCAATCAGCAAAAAGTAAAATCCACTCAGGCATACAATAATTAAACTGACTCTTACTAATCGAACGGAGCACTACAACTATTGGTACCTTCTCGTTGTTTGACAAGTCACCACGGGATGATGATTGGCTAAGCAATGCTCTTTGTTTCATCAGGCAGGTACTTTGCGAAGCAGCCTAACAAGTTATAAACAGATTAGCCTTTGCTTTTGCATGCAATCAACGGTGATGGTATTAGATCGGTAGGGAGTGTGTAGATTACGTTCTTGTTAGGGGATGATATTGTGCCAAAAAACGTCCCATGGGGGCATCCCTGCATAGAACCGTAGGTGCGTGGTGATCGAGGGATCGCTGTTGATAATGATGGTGGCTTGTGGTCCCGATTGACCTTCATAGTTTATCTCGACCCTGGGGTTATATTACGTCCCAAGATCATGGTTTCGCCCTGCACTCAGTTTTGCGGCACCAACCCAACATGATGATCAGTCGGACCTACAACCATGATCAAGAATATTTAGTGATCGTCCGACCATTAACAGGTTGATGGTTGGGAAGGTGGTTTCTGGGCCTAAGGAGAGGACAATAGTCAGGTTTAGTTCTTAACATTTTTCATGGTCTTTACTAAGGCCCCCAACCTCGAGTGGGCCATGATTACTCGAGGACTGACAAATCGTTGACCCTCATGTTCTTGGCAAGGTAAGCTAATCGATCTCTTTTTTTTTGTCGAAGGTGGGCTGATAACAAGTCACACCCAAGGTGTCAAATCTGGGGCTTTTGTAAGAGAAAGAGGGGAACAGGCAGTATTTCGAGGTTTTTATGGATATTATGCGGGTAATATAACGAAGTGACCGGGATGAGGTGGTCAGCAGTGCCGCCCATTCACTCGGTCGACCGTGGAAGATAAAAGAGCGTCGGCTGAGCCGCCCTCCTTGTTGGGGGAGAAAGCCATGAATATGAAGGAATAAGTGTTTAGATGTGAAAACAACTTGAGGGGTGGTTTCCCTCCCTCTAGCACCATTCTGTTGATGGTAGGCTGCCAACAGTTATATGGTGTGTGTAATTACGACAACAGAATCAGGGTTATTTGTTATTGTAATGGTTTTGGGAGTTAATTTTAGTAAACGGATAAAAAGAAACTGTGGAAAGTAAGACCCCAATTTTGTTGGCCCATAAAAGGGTGCGACGAGAAGATTTGGATCTCCGAGCTTGTTTTATTAGTAGAAGTATTTACAGGTGTGACTCATGGCCTGAAATACAAGTGTAGCCGATTGGATGGTAGTATTTTTCAAGAGGATAAGGAATTGTAGTGATGGCTTTTTGATGAGGTGATGGTAATATCGATTTATGATCCCCATAACCTTTAGCGAAGGTTGGATTTTATATCCAAAATTACGATTTTGGCATTAAAGGCGTTATGCCACATATAGACGTGGGGTGATTCCGCGTGTATCCATGCAAAGACCGTGTTATGAGGATGTGACAAGTTAGGGTGGTGCTACCAGCTTCTAAGAGCCTGTTCAGATTGTCAGAGTGATCGATAATCTTCTTCGAGAAGCCACTGCAAGCGATCGTCGTGCCGATCAAGTGATCGACAACCCAGCAGTAATCGAATGGGCCAACTGTGAAGTGATCTTTGTGGTCTTGTGCCTTGCTCTTTCACTTGGGTCGAGGTTAAAAGGTGCGCCACATAAATTTATGTAATCAGAATATTATATGTACAACACAATTTCATATAAATAGCAAAATGATTGATCACCAATATTAATAAAACACAGTCAAGTAGAGTTCGATACTTCCGGAACTAGAATTAAAAACTTCTCTAACATAATAGATAATAGAAGAAAGAAAACAAAATTATCCTTTTTCTGTGCGGGTGCGGTCTCCCTCCGTATCAATCAGCTTCTCGTAATGTCTGTTTACTGCGTCCAGTTTTTGTTCCTTTTCCCTAGTTGCGTGACTCCCCTCGACGCTCCCTGCATTCTGTGTCATATGTTTGCATGGGCGGACACACACATTTAAAAGTAGGAGGGCGAACTTGGCTTGTAGGTCCATAAGAAAAGTTGATTTTCTTTATGACTATTATTATATTTGTTGTGGTAAACTTTAACATAATTAAATATATTGAAAGTTTCTCACATCCACAAGAACACCCCTGCGGGTACCTATGTGGGTCCGCCTCGCTGCTTCTGTAAATCCACTGTCCACGCAATTAATTAAGTGGCTTTTGTGGGTGCCCTCTAAAATGTTAGCCCACCAAGATTTTATTAAGTGTGTCACTCTCTTGCTTTGTATGTTTGCATAATTCAAAGTGAACTTGATCACAAATAGCTTTTTCTCTCTCTTCTCGTATTTTCCTCTTAATCGAAGAACAAAGAAAACCCTTCCATCGGCATGCCTTCCTCCTTACCGTCGAGCTCCTTCGGCTGCCGCGTTTGGAGATGCCCTCCTCCGGGGTGTCGGGTGGCTTTCGTTCAGACTCCTTCCCTAATTTTCCCGGCGAGTTGTTTTCTTGGGAGGGTTGGAGTGGGGTTTCGTCTATTGAGCATTGAGACAGCCGATTTTGGACTCGGCCACCGCAATGGTTGTAGAGGGTCGAATTCTGGCACCTCTTTCTCCCTTAGATCTACTCGCCTCATGGTGTTAGAGTGGTAGATCCGACGGCGAGGTGGTCGATTGCTCGGTGATGGGCTGCCTCTGTCCGGTTTGGTGTTGGGGGTTGCTTGGGGGTAGTGCTCCTGGGAGGGATGCTCCGAGTGGTGGTTCGGTTGTTTGTCCGCCCGCCGTTCGAGGTTGACGATGGGGCGTTCTTGTGCATCGTAGTTTGTATCTCGGAGAGGCACCGCTCAGAGGTGGGGTGTTAGCCGACGAAGTGGTGCCATACTGTCGGAATAGATCTCGCCGTATCTCTGGCTGCTTGGATGGCGTGGAGGGCGACCGTTTATGCCGAAATTTTTTGCAGCGTTTGGGCGAACCTCTAGAGCTTCTTCGGGGTGAGTTACGACCTCGTTCCTTGTTTTGGAGGTCTGAGGTGGAGGGTTCCGCCATCTACCGCCGTGACCCTCATGTCTCTGGTGTAGGGCGGAGGTGTTCGGCCGGTTAACTTGGGTCGTGCGCTGTGTTCTCGAGTCTGGGCCCGGTTGTTCGGTTGGTTTGGGTAGTTTGTGGTATGGGTCTCTAGGTGTGGGTCTCGGTTATCCGTTAGGAAGTGGTTCGGGTGCGCTGGCGTCCGACCATTTGTTGGTCAGTTTCTGGTTTGGATTCTTGGGCCTTAGCTTTGTCCATTTGGATGGGTGTCCGTTAGCGTCATCGTTGGTTGACTTGGTTTGGCTGTTGGCTGCGGAGGGGTGGTGTAGTTGTTGGTTTTCGTTTTAGGTGTTGATTGTTGTGTTTGTATGTAGGCTATGTTTATTTTTCTTTTTCTTCCGTTGGGAGTGAGTTTTGTGTATTCTGCTGTTGTGAGTTTTTTGTTATTCTTCTTTCGAGAGCATTAGCTGTTTAGTTTGTTGTGTTGTGGGTGAGTTAGTATAGTTGCTTCTAGGCTACTTCCGAGTAGGCCTCCTGGATTCAACTGTTTGGCTGCTTGACTATTCTGGCTGATTTCTAGCTGTAATTATGTGGTTTTAGTTTTTATAAAATTTCTATCGTTTTGATAAAAAAAAAAAAAAAAAAAAAA